TCCTCCGGCGATCCTTCCGCCTCAGCCTTCCAGTAGCCAGAATTACAGGCAGGGGCTACCACGCCCGGCTGATTTTTTGATTTATTGTATAGATGAGGTCTCGCTGCCCAGGCGGGTCTCGAACCCGCGGGCTCAGGCAATCCACTCACCTCAGCCTCCCAAAGGCGCGGGATTACAGCCTGAGCCACCGAGTCCGGCTTTGTATCTATTTTCTAATTTCCCCAAACAGTCCCTGCAGGTTGAGGGATTGTGGTGAGGGGAATTCCACCAGTTTTGCTTTGGGGCTAGTGGGTAAATGCAGGACAGAGGTAATCGGCTCACCTCATCACAGCCACCAGCTCCGGCCCTTGCTGCAGCTCAATCACAAGCACACAGCTAACCAAATCACTGCTCAGGGCTCAGGGCCTCCCAGTTATGTGACTCGGGAGTCTCATTTGCAATCACCATTAACCAGAAAAGCCGCACGCCTGTTCTGCTCCCAGAGTCAAGTGTCATGCAATATTCACAGAAACCCAAGGGCTGGAAAAGGCGGCCAAGCCTTTAGACTAAAGCTTGCAGAGTGAACTCTCCCAGCTTGGGGGGATGTCCCTTACCCTTTGCCCAGCCCCTCTGAGGTGCTAATGAGTAGTGAAATGACTCAAGCCTGGACAGGCAAAGAGGCCAGGAAATGCTCAGAAGACTGCGAGGGTTCCCTCCGAGGGGCTATGTTGATAAGTAACCCACATACCTGCTATTAAGCAATCCTGTGAAGACTTTAACTGCTTTAAAGTAGATATGCATGCGGAACAGTCCAAAGGCCACCTCTAAATCTCTAAAGACAATACTCAGTCTTTAGCTCTCATTCAGCTGCCTGCAGTGCTGTGTGAAACAGAGTTAGCAAAGCCCCAGGGTGGCATGGGATTTCCAAAGATTATCCCATAAATGGTAGAGGCGGCCACACATCACACAGCTCTACTTTCATGATCCCCCTCCTCCTTCTCCTCCTCCTTTTCCATACAGCTCCCTCCACCATTCCCACCACCACTCAACACACATTCATCCTCACGGGCTGGCAGGCACGTGGATGCATCAAGAAATGGTACTGGAAGGCCCCAGTTGTAGATTTTGTATCTGTCAGGCACTTAAGTGAAAGCCATCATTGTCCCATATGCCCTTATTTCTCTCTCTCTCTCTCTCTCTCTCTCTCTCTCACTCTGTGTGTGTGTGTGTGTGTGTGTGTGTGTGTGTGTGTGTGTGTGTGTGTGTTTCTGTTGTAACCCAAGGAGTAGTGAGGACACTTATGCCCCCAGGTCCAGATGCAGAGGAGGTATTAGATTGTAGGTATTAGAGAAGGCATTTCTGAAGTTTGCCATTTTGCTAGTCTTTGAGATACTTGTTTCTCAAAGGCTGTGGTTGGGAGGAGGAAGTTGCTCAGCCAGCCTCTGTCTGCTTGGGAAGTGCTGAGGACTGACCCTGAAGGGCTCTAGCCAGCAAATACTACAGACCCTTTCCTGGGGAAATCTGTGCACAAGGACTGGCCATCTCACCCCTCGAAAGGTATCTCCGCAGTCAGGACAAAAGAAGGCAAGGCTGCCTGGGGAAGGGCATGACAGAAGCAGCGAGTGCCAGTGGGAGAGGAGCCAGGAGAGAAAGGCTTTCTTGGTTTGGAAACAAGCAAAGGACAGGAGAAAGAAAGGAGTGCTGAATCAGGACCAGGCACGGGCGTCCTCTTGAGCGCCAGACTGAAGCTTGCTCACCATAATTTCAATAACCTCTGTGAATGAAGAAGCATAGGGCTGCCGGCCAAGAAAACTGGCTCCTTGGTGGTCACTTTTCATTAGATGGGAAGAAGTAGGGTCCCCTTTGTATTCCTTATCTATGCAAGGAGCCACCTCTACAGGCAGAGACAGAGAGACACAGGGAAACACAGAGTTAGCCCTTCACTTCCTGGTACACACTCAAAGCTGGGGTCTCCCACTTTCAAGGCCAGCTACTCTAAAAGTCTCTTTTAATCAGGGTGGGCTTAAAGGGTGTAATGGCTTTAACCAGGACATCTGCAGTTCCTGGGAAGACTCTGCCTTCCATTTAGAAGGAAAGACATCAGCTTGCTTGAAGGAATCCCAGGTTACTGGGTAATCACCATAATAAGGTTGAAAATGAAAGTGACCTATAGAAGCATGGTAAATACACAATTTTCTCTGCTCTGTAAGTGAATTTTGATTATAACTCAGTGCTTGCCTCGAGTCCTAAAATGTTATTAGTTAGAATTCTCTGGAAAGCCCAGGAAAGGATGAAATGCATAAATGTTTCCACAAAGAAAAACACAGGCTTCCCAGCCCTCTTTGTAGCTACACACAACCAAGAAAATTGAAAGCAAGGTTGCAGTCTCTCTGTCCTTGGTCACCAATTCATGTACCAGCCTGTCATACACAGTGTGGGAAAGCACCGCAGATCAATAGCTATTCTGGGTTAACATTGCCACAGTTTTTTTTTTTCTTCAAAAAAAGGAAGAGCTTTACCCCCTACATAGATCACAGTTTATTACGTCCAAAGCATATTTCCGTGGTCTATTTATGGAAATTAGTGTTTAGAGGAGAACTTTTTTCCTGGGGTTTCATGTACTTTTTAATATCAGCAATGGGGACAGTGATGCTTCTAAAGTTATTCCTTTCAAACCTCTGCAAATGGCTATTAGCTCTCTGGTTTGAGAAGTGGGTAATACTTACCTAATAGGCCACCTGGATCCTGGGGGTTTCTCCCTACTGGAGCAGGGTGTCCACACCCTGGGGGTATTAGCAGTGCTCAACTTGTTTTGCTTACCTGTGATGAGCCTCCTCTGAGCAAAATCTCTAAGTGTTTATTACAGAAAATGAAAAGCCAAATGAGAATTTATATGAAAAAGCAAGCCATAGCCTCTCAAGGCCTATGGCGCCTATTTTTATGTGATGGCTTATATGATTTCTAAGTTGCCTGAAGGCTTTAAGTGACAACTTTTGAAGTTGCTATAGGAACTCTACGAATTATATACAACACCCCCCCCTCTTTTTTTTTTTTTAAGAGGAGAGTGTTATAAAGCACATTCACCTCCAGTATCTCTTTTCAACCTCAAAAGCTATAGAGGAAAGATGCTCATAAGTCTATTTGAAGGCAAAGAAGGGAAGACTCTGAGAGGTGGAGTCATTCAAGGTCACACAGCTGTTGAGCCAGAGCTGACTCGAGGCCTTCAACCCTGACATGGGACTCCTGAAAAAATATACACAGATGATTTCCCCTCCATTCATACCAAGACCTTAATGCCCCTCGCTTCCCCATCATTGGCTGCAATGAACCATGTAAAATTCAAACTTCAGAAATGCTAAGTCTCATAAGCAATTTTTAAAGGTATTAAAATGCAAAACAGAAGTAAACAAAATTTCTTGCCATGGGGAACTAACAAATGCAAAGTGACAAAATAATGGGAGTTTGAATGCAGTCTCAAAAGTGGCCATAAAACGGAATTCAGAATTCTATTTTAATATGTATACTGTACACTTACTTTGCCAAGGATGACTGGTAGTGAATTCTCACTTATAAAACTTAGTCATAATAGAAAAAAGAAATAGTGGAATGGGAGGAAAGAGTGAGACGGCGAGAGCGGGTGTGAACGTTTGCGTGAGATGGTGTTTGTCACAGCTTCGGGTCCCAGGACAGTTCATTGCCCCTCCACCAGGACTGACCTTGGCATATGGCCCCAGCAGTCCTTCCTAGGGACTTCCAGGAATTTGTGGGGGTGGCACCCATCAGTGTTGACCTGCTGAGGATAGCCAGGCTGGTGGGAGTTTGCAAAGGGATAGACAACAAGCTTCCCCTGCCCAGCAACAGTGGTCCGAGTGACAGATCTCACAGAGACTGTCCGGCGCTGGCGCTGCAGACACGGCCCTTTCTCTAACACTCAGTCCTGCCTACAGAGGAGGATAGGGAAGAAACTCCCAAGGAGTTCACTTTGTATGTTAGAACCAAGGTGGCTCAGAGTGTCACATCTGGGGAGTTCAGCGGCGCCTCCCCTTACCCACTGCCTCCCCCTCTTCCCCACCCACCCCAGCCAGTGTGGCTCTTCATTCTTTTCCCCATCAATCTTGGCTGTTGCGGCCCTTCCGGACCCCATATTTTGGCTGTTCTCTTAAAGGGCATTGACCTGGAGGCACAGATGCAGAGGCAGCCTGGCCGGCAGCAAGGCAGCCACAAGCAACTAGCGCCCAGCTGCCTGCGGAGCGCCAGGCAGTAGGCAGCAGCAGCAGCTCTGAGCTAGTTTCATTATTACACAATTGAAGCAAATCCCTGCTCCTCCTGTGCTCAGTGGAAGGAGCGCATCGAGCCAGCAGGAAGGAAATAAGCCAAACTCCTCCCGGCACCACACACACACTCTCAGAGTCTGAGGACAAGGACAAACACTTTGCAGAAAGAAACCCCTCGCCAACTACCAGGTCCCTGTTTGGGGGCTTCTCAGCCCCAACGGTCATCAGAAAGGTTTTCAAAATCCTCGTGCTTGGCTACCTTTCCCAACACATGGGACAGACACCAATCTGGGTAACTTTTCAAATTGTGTCTTCCGAACACTTGCCCACGGATGTTTGGTGTCCTCCACCACCCTCACTGCTGCACCCCCTTAAAAGGCACTTTTAGGACGATAGTGTGGGGAAAAGACACCAGACCATCCCTCTACTTTTTCTGGCCACTCATAGAAACGACAGTGACTAACAGCACCAAGCCTCCCAGAGAGGGGGAGTGAGCCGAGGCGAACATCTCCAGTTGCAAACACCATCCCACCACCACCTAGGCACAACCGAGGGTCCCTGACACCTCCCAAGAAAGGAGTCGAACCTGAGCTGCTGAACACGAAATGACAGACAGAGCGACTCACCTTGAGGTTATGTGTGGGGTTGACAACACAGACAAGTTGCCCAGCAGTGGAGAAAACCCGTTTAGCCTTGTAGTGCTGAAACCGGAGGTGAATGAGATCTAACACAGCCCCAAAGCACTGGGTAAAGAAAAGCATCACAACTTTTGGGAGGGGGTTGTTGGCCCGGGAAGGCAGCGAGGAAGCTGTAAGTCCTTGGGCTCTGGAAGGCGCGCAACCTCTGAGACGCCCCGCTCCAGCCCGGCTTAGCGTGTCTTCATATTCATCATCAAAATAAGACGGTTAGAATCTTGCAGCAGTGAGGCGGCCAATCAAAAGGACAGAAATGTTATCCTTGAGGTGCAGAGACAGCCAATAACAGATGCCTCCCCCACCGAAACTCCCTGATGAATTGAGCCTGGCAGAGAATGTATTATTGAACATTACCACAGATCAGCACATTGCATTTATCTTGTGATTACAGCCAACCATACATAATGCTGGGGAGATAGGCTGACAAAATTGATTGCTTAATGTGTCTCCATTTATTAATTGACTTAATTTAACATGAGAGCCTTTCTTAATGCCCTGGCAAAAACGTAAAGCGTTGAAACCACCAAATAGTAAAAAACACCCCGCTCCAAAGTAGGCAGATGGATAACGCAGATCGTGGCTCGACTCACCAGAGCGGCTTGGGAGAAAATCAAATATCACGAGACTCTGATTCCAGATAAGGATTTGGCAGCAGCAAAAATGTGTATCTTTCGATCTTGCATTTTGACTCTCCGCAATTTGGATTACAGCCCCTTGATAAATCTTACCATTCTTTATCAAAGAAAAGAACCCATGACAAAATGCATTTGGACTTGAGGGAAAAAAAAATACATATATATGTGTATGTGTGTGTGTATATATATATATATTATATATATATTCTGCCCAAATACAGTAATTACTGAAGTCTGAAAGTATTAAAAGGAAAAAAAATGCACAGAGTATGCTTCTAAAAATAATAAAATCCCTGATGCATGAATGCACATACACAGAAAAACCTACACTCAGAGGAAAGTGGCTTGTAAATCAGCAAAATAATTACAGATGCAGAGAACCTTTGCTTGTCATTCATTTGCATATTGGTGGGCAGCAAATTGCTAATTAACCACTAGATTGTTGAAGACATTAAAATAGAGATTGAAAATGCACATACCATACCATTTACTTGTTTCTGCAAATGCCAGCAGCACATTTCTGTGCTGGTACAGACAGAGGGCATTCCAGTCCTCAGATTGCAAACCCACCATCCCTCCCCAGAATGGGGCTGGTGGGGGGCGCCTAGGCCACCCACTGGTTCTTGAAAAAAAGCCTTCTAAGCAGTACATGGAGGGTTTTAGGGTTTCTGAGGACGAGTTCTAATGGCTTAATCTTTGTGACTAAAGCAGGAGCGTTTGTGTGTATTTGTGTGTTCCCTCTTCTTTGGCTGTTTTTCCACTGAGAAGTCAGCCCAGATTTGATGCTACCTGGAGCAAAATCAGCCTCCCGTGAAAAGTGCACCCACCTACCTAGTGTGAGCCCGTTATTCCTTCCTGCTTGGTTTTCGCTCTGCTCTGACTACAGTGCTTGGGTTGTAATACATGCAAAGCATACACACATGCACACCCGGGATGCCCAAGCCTGTGACCTGGTCAGGCAATTAAACTAACAACAAAACAAAATACAGGGAGAAAAAAAAAACAACAAAACCCACGCAGGTTTTGAACACCAGAAAGCTGCCTAGGTTGTTAATTTTAACTTGAATTTAAAACCAAGCCAGTGTTTTAAGGGACAAGATGAAAAACTTTGCACTTTCTAAAATAATTGCACTGGCACAAAAACTAGAAGATGACAACAGTTGATTAGAACTTCATCAATGGGATGTCCACTCACGACATGGCTTGTAGATAGGGGTTGCTGGCCCACAATAGTAGAATCTGCTTTCTAAAGTTTGAATTGCCCTGAATAAGTTTTCAGCAGTTCATCAGGAAAACATTCATTGCTCTTTCGTTCTTACTTAGATTCTTTAAAGACACACTCATGCTTTAGAAAATTCCAAGCTTCCCCTTTTTACATCCTTGGCTTGAATAGAATGATTGTGTATATTTTTGTTGTTGTTTCTGTCACCGTACTGGAAGTAGTTTCTAAGACAGTGGGGATTTCTGCTGTTCTTTTCTGTTGTTGTTGAAAGATGTTTAAAATAAAATGATTGCAAAATGAGAATGACATCAAACAGGACAAGGATTTATTGCTTTGTGTTAATAATCTCATGCTATGCTTGAGATATAGAATTCAATGCTGAGTTTATTTTTGGTTTTTAAAAATTAAAGCAGTTTAAAAAATTAGAGCAGTTTTAGGTTCACAGTAAAACTGAGAAGGTACAGAGATTTCCCATAGACCCTCTGCCCCCACACAGACACAGACTCCTCATTATCAATATCATCCCCCACCACAGTGGTACATTTGTTTCAATTAATGAACCCACATGGACACATCATTATCATCCAAATTCTGCTGTTTACATTAGGGTCTACTCTTGGTATTGTATAGTCTATGTGTTCGAGCAAATTATAATGACGCATATCCACCATTAGAATATCATACAGAGCATTTTCTTGCCTTAAATACTCTCTGTGTTGCACACCTATTCATCTCTCCCCTTCCCCCCAACTCTTGACAATCACTGATCTTTTTACTGTTTCCATAGTTTTGCCTTTTTCCAAAATTTGTGTTATTGTAACCACACAGTACATAGCCTTTTCAAATACGTGAAAGAAGTCAATTTCTCCATGTCTGTTCATGATTTGATAGCTCATATCTTTTTTAACATCGAATAATAATCCATTATCTGGGTGTACCACAGTTTGTTTATAAATATCTATTCAGATAACTGAAGGACATCTTGGTTGCTTCCCAGTTTGGGCAATTATGAATTAAACTGCTATAAACATCCACGTGAAAGTTTTTGTGTGAACAGGAGTTTTAAGCTTCTTTGGGTAGATACCACGGAGATCTATTGCTGGATTGTATGGTGAGAATGTACTTAGTTCTGTAAGAAGCCACCAAATTGTCTTCCAGAGTGGTAGTATCATTTGTGCATTCTCACCAGCAATGAATGAGAGCTCCTGTTACTCCATATTTTCGACAGCACTTGGTATTGTCAGTGTTCTGAATTTTGGCCAATGTAATAAGTGTGTAGTAGTATCTCATTGTTTCAGTTTTCATTTTGCTGATAACATATAATGTGGAACATCTTCTCATATGCTTATTTTCCATCTGTATGTCTGCTGTGATGAGGTGCCTTCAGGTGTTTTGCCCATTTTTAAAAAATTGTTTTTCCTTATTGTTGAGTCTTAAGAGTTCTTTGTATGTTTTGGATACAAGTGCTTTGTCAGATGTATCTTTTCAAATATTTATTCCTAGTCTGTGTCTTCTCATTCTCTTCACATTGTCTTTCACAGAGCAGAAGTTTTTAATTTTAATGAAGTCAGCTAATCAATTCTTTCCCTCATAAATCATGTCTTTTGGTGTTGTATTACAAAGAGTGCCATAAGATAATCTAAGTTTTCTTTTATGCTATCTTCTAGAAGTTTTATACTTTTGCATTTTACATTTAGGTCTATAATCCATTTTGAGTTAATTTTTGTGAAGGGCATAAGGTCTGTGTCTAGATTATTATTATTTTTTGCATACAGATGTTCAGTGTCGGCATCATCTGTTGAAATGTCTTGAATTTATATCTAAGTGTTTATGTCTTTCTTTTCTTTTCTTTTTTTGAGCCATAGTCTCACTCTGTCACCCAGGCTGGGGTGCAGTGGCACGATCATACCTTATCACAGTCTTGACCTCCTGGGCTCAGGTGATCCTTCTGCTTCACCTTTCCAAGTCGCTGGGACTACAGGTGCGCGCCACCATGCCCAGCTAATTTTTGATTTTTTTTTTTTTTTTGTAGAGACGTGATCTTGCTATATTGCCCAGGCTGGTCTCAAACTCCTGAGCTCAAGCAACTCTCCCACCTTGGCCTCTGAAAGTGCTGGGATTACAGGTGTGAACCACCACTCCTGGCCATATACCTAAGTGGGGGAGGGGATGCTAATGTAAATAGTTTAGTGTTTTTAATTTCAAATTCCACTTGGCCAGTGTTTGAATATAGAAAAGCAATTGACTTTCATGTATTAAACTTCTGTCGACAACTTTGTTATAATCACTTATTAGTGCCAGGAAGTTTTGTTATTGTTATTGATACTTTTGAACTTTTTGCATAGATGATCATGCCATATACAAACAAAGGTAGTTTTATTTCATGTTTCTCAATCTGTATGTTTTTAATATTTTTTCTTATCTTACTGTATTAGTTAGAACTTAGAACTTCCAGTACAATGTTGAAAAGGAATTATAAGAGGGGGCGTCCTTGCTTGTTCCTGATCTTTGTGGGAAAGATTCTAGTTTTTTTCTTTCTTTCTTTCTTTCTTTTTTTTTTATCAGTAAGTATAATGCTAATTGTATGTTTTTGGAGGTATTATTTATCAAGTTTAAGAAGTTCTCCTCTGCTCCTAGTTTACTGACAGTTTTTATTATGAATGTGTGTTGATTTTTGTCAAATGTTTTTTCTGCATCTATTAATGTGATCGTGTGATTTTTTTTTTTAGCCTGCTGATTTGATGAATTGCATTAATTGACTTTTAAATGTTGAACCAGCCTTGTGTACCTGGAGTAAATTCTACTGTTGTGTTGCTTTTTCTCCCTTATTATAACACAAGTCGGTTTTCTTAATCTCACTGAGGCTCAATTCCCACACCTTTAACATGAGGATAATATAAATGTATTTCTCCCTCAAGGTCATGGTGAAGACTAAGATGATATATATGAAAGTACCAAGCCGGGCTCAGTGGCTCAGCCTGTAATCCTGTGCTTTGGGAGGCCGAGGTGAGTGAATTGCCTGAACCCACGAGTTTGAGACCCACTTGGGCAACCTGGCGAGACCTCATCTCTACAATAAATAAAAAAAAATTAGCCAGGTGTGGTAGTGTCTGCCTGTAATTCCGGCTACTCGGAAGGCTGAGGTGGAAGGATCGCCGGAGCCCAGCAGGTCGAGGCTGCGGTGGCCTGAAGCGGCCACTGCCCTTCAGTCTGGGCGACAGAGTGAGACTCCAACTCAAAAAAAAAAAGAAAGTACCAGCGTAGTGCTTGCCTAATTCAAGGCAGTCTTTCAATACTTGCTCCTACTGAGTA